CATGTGCATATTCATCACCTTCATCATCAAGAACATATTGTACTTGTTCGTCGAATTCGGTATATAAAGTGCCCTTAAGCCCAAGCTGTAATTGTCATTGTAATTTAAATGGGTTAAGGCAATCCACTTTAATTCAGTGGTTACACCATAAAAAAATGATCTTTGGAGGTTTTGACCGTTGTTATTATGCTCGGGTACCGGTTTGGGATGTTGATAGAAGCTGTTATTGCGATAATGTGTGTCATGTAAGGGATAGATGCGTGGGTGGGAGAAGAGGGGGGTTGAGAAAATGTATGGTTTCTGAGGAAGGGAGCAAAAGATGTAGTTTTGGAGGTGTTGACGAGGCCGAGGTTTTGCTTAATTTATTGACTGAGGAATTAGGTGGGCAGTGTTCTGATGTAAGAGAGGAAAATAGAAGACTAAACAAGAAGATAGTAGTGGAGAAAAAAGGAAATGGTGAGGCTAGTAATCGGTGTAAGAGTAAGACGAAAAGAGTTGATTTGGTTGTTCCCAAGAGTGAGTCAAAGTTTGTGTATGAATCAGTGGTATTTAGGTCCAGGGAGGAGGATAAGAGAAGGAGAGAGGAAAGGATAAGGAGGGAAAGAGACAGAGAAGATCTACAGAGGAAAGAAATTTTGAAGGTGCGGAAAAAGGAAGAAGAAGGGGAAGCTTTGTTGAGAACTGAGAACGGAAATGCTAGGGCAAAGGAAGAAGAGAGGGAAATTTTGTTGAGAAAAGAGAACTGGAAGATGAGAGCGAGAGAGGAAGAGAGAGATGATTTGTTCATAAGAGAGGAACACAGGGAGAGGATGAGGAGAGATGGTTCTAGTTGCTCTTCATACTATTCGGTATCTTCGACTGGTGAGTACAACAGTGATGATGAAATTGAGGATTCAGGAGAGGTTGGAGTAGAATTGTCAAATGTGTATGAGAAGGATTTGGAAAGGAGTGAAAGAATCATCAGCGAGGAAGTTGAAAAAGAGGAGTACAGGGGCGGCTTGAGAAAGAAAAGTACTGAAATAGGTATGCGTGCTGGATCTAGTGGTGTTGAGTCTGACTTCAGAAAGAAATCAGAGAAAAAGCTTACTGATGTATTCATTGAAGAGACAAAGTCTAGAAAGGGAACCTTGCAAAAGGATTCAAGCATTTTGGAGGTTAGTGAAAGTGGTTATGGAAAGACTTCTGGTTCCTACAAGAGTTATGATGATAGGAAGGTAAAATCAACTTCTGTTCCGAAGTTTGATGAGGAAAGAAGACAACAGCAGAGGCAAACTGGTAACGAAGCCACGGAACAGTCTGAGACAAGGATAAAGCATAAACAATTTTCGGAAATGCCAGAGAACCGTGATGACCAAGTTGTAACCTGTTATGGCTCTCAAAAGGTTTACAGTAGCAGGGAGGAAAATACAACTAAAGTTACTAGTTTAAGTTCAGAAGCAAAAAGAGAACATCGAACAGTTGTTGGACTTGGTATCAGAGAAGATGAATATTTGAGGAATACTATTAAAGTTGCTGAAGTATCAAAATTTCAAGGGGCTGATGCCAAAAAGACCTCCATATCTCAGCAGCTGTCTGAAACTAGAAAGAAGAAAGAGGAAGGATATTCAACTGATGTAATTGCTTATGATGCTGAAAAGAATCAACAGCATGACGAGTTTACCAGTGTGGTAGACGAAAAAGGAAAATCGACAAAGAAGGGAAGCAGTTCCACTTCACATATTCAGTCAGATAGTAGGATTATAAAACAAAAAGAAAATGTGAATTTAGCTTTTGGCTCGTATATAGAATCTGAAGAGCAACACTTTCAAACACACGCAGAAAGCTCCAAAAGAATGGATGTCACAATTGGAACACAACAAATGACTAATGAAACAGCCACTCGTTCTGGTGATTTAATTGGTGCAAAAGATGGAAACAGGACAAGATCAGAGATACTAGTGAAACCTCCATCTTCTAAAAGAGCAGCAAGAGGTGAATTGCATGTTGAATCAACAAGTGGGCTCGCGATTGAGGAGGTGAATGATGGAAGTTCAGAAAGTGGCTCTACTGCATTGCATGAACTTGTCCTGGGGAGGTTTCCAGCATTGTATCATGAAAATTATGGAAGGGCCAAGAGCAATGAAGCTCATGAACAGCCTTTTAATTTCTCCAGTGAAGATGCAATTGGTTCAGCTGAGCAATTACAGAAATCTTCTGCACACTATGTTGGTGAGTTTGTTGAGAAGCTAAAGCATGAAATTTCAACTTTTGAAATCCAGGAGGAGAAGAAAACTTATAAATCTAAGTTTGTGCATGAGGAGGAGCAGAGTAACCGAAAGGATTTGAGTCAATATGTGTCTGGAGAGTCTGACTCAAAGGAGCATCACTCAAGGCATTCCTCGAGGAGTACTAAAACAAAAGGGCCATCAGATCAAACATGGGAGGTTGATGAACAATGTTTTCAGGAGCATTCCAAGACAGAAGTACAGGATAATACAAGCAAAGCCGAGAATGCTATTGTCAAGAGAACTGGCAGGTCCTTGTGGAATATCATTGGTGATATTATTCGTCTGAAGTGGTCTACACGTTCTGAAAGCCATAGCACAGGTGGAAAGGCCAGTGTTGTTTCATCCAATCAATCTAGAAGTAGTGATGCATGGTTTTCTGGTCATGAAGCTGAAGAAGATGAAGGAGTGAGTGGAAGAAAAGAAAGANATTTTGCACGCAAAAAAAGAAAGGGACAAGAAAATATGAATTCAATAGATTTATTTGCAAACCTTTTGCGTAATTTTTTTTTTCTTTTCTTTTAATGCCTTTATTCTGAAGCACTAGATGACTTGATTTTGCAAAATTATTGAGCAACTAAAGAATCATTAACCATTGAAGGATGTTTTGTTCTTTTATGCTATTCATTCAGTATTCATTTTGTACTGTAACTCCGGCTAAAAGCTAAACGAGTTTTCTCTGCATAGTCTTAACTCTTCCTCTAATATGTGTATCTCAAGTTTTTTTTACACAATCATTTTCTTCTACCTTTTTTATGCTTGATTTTTTATCTCATTCGTAAATTGAATTAAGATTCACTTGTTAATTACTATGGCACCCATTTTTTGATTTTACTATTAGCTCTTTTGATTCAAAATATAGGTTTGTATGCATAGTATATTAGCTTAAATCATAAGAGTTAACATATTCAGAATCACTACCTGTCTTCTCCTATTTTTTCCATTTACGTAGCATGCGAAAGATTGTTACTTTTCCCTCAATATAAGTAAATTTATCATGAATTTTATCATGTCTTAATTCAAGGTTTTGGTTCTTTACTTTGCATGTTGAATAATGTAATATTCAAGAAAGTAAAATAGCTTTTAATTAGAGGATAAGGGTCATATCAGTAAGATGAAGTGTAGTTTATCTGGCAACCATTGTGGATTATGAATTTGTTATATGAACTGTAGATTCTTGGGATTACCTATTTTTGAGCCCACTACACTTTTTGACTGACCAATTCTTATGCGTATTCATCTGCCATCTGGTATCAAATTTATCATAAAATTTCTATTTGCTACACAAATCTTGAAACTCCTGAGTCCACGATTTCTGAGAAGTACGTTGGTTTCTTTCTGCTCATTTCTATAATTCAAGGTGGACAGATCTAGCTTTTGAAAATTCAGTCTATACTGCTCACATCGGTTACCTTCAAATTTGTTGCCAATTCCATTGCTTCAATATATATCTCTATATTATTTTATAATTATGGGTGATTTATATTCTCATGGCCATTGGCTACATCATAATTAGTTCATTTCTAAAAGATCCGGTTTTACAAGTTTATTGTAATCGTTAGTGCTTTTAGTCTTTCAAGTTAGATGACACTTGTATTCACCATTTAGTGAAGGACTCCATGCAGGATTTTCTTTTGTTTTATCCTTTGCTTTGCAATTTGATATCTAATTTCTCTGTAGCAGTGCCGTTAAACATTGTTTAAAGGAAACTGCTTTTATCTGATGCGTGATTAACAATATGTAGGCTTTTTCCTAGTGGAGATGGAGGAAATGGGTTGGAACAAACGGATAAGCTTGTTGCTCCCGTTCACCCGTTCCACCCAAAAATAACAATCCGACGAGGAGTATTGGCATCAGAATGTGCAGATGCTATGCAACAATTCTTTCAGTTAAGGAGAAGGGTAAAGGAGAAGAAATCCGAGCCTCCCACATCACCCTCACGCCTTCCCATTTCGCACCGTCCCACGAAGTTCTTCGCCAAGATGCACGATGCCTTCAACATCTTGTTCTGTTTGTGAGTAACTGAAAGATTAAAATTTTTCTTTTCATTACGTTGAAATGATACTTCGAAATAGGCTGCTACTTAAATAAATTGGGTTGACTTCTTTTGTAATAATTTGAATAGTGTAAACTTGCGATCATATATCTGCATGGGACAATTTTTTTCCAATAAGGTTAGAATTAGGTTTCTCTCAAGGTTTACGGAAAGATATGAGTGGCACTAAGCCTGGTAATGATTTTATCTTTGTTTGTCTTACTAGTTCTCATACTTTCAGTTGTATATATGTCATTGCCATTGCCTGGCACGCCAATATTTTTATTGGTCAGGCTTGGGACCTGGGGGGCATCATAGTATTTTAAAGGCCTGCACAGGTGATGGGCGGGTCCAGAGCACAGCTTGTGTTTCCCTGGGCTTCATCAAATATGTCTTGGCGTAGCCTGGCCCCATTCTACACCTCTATGCCTCAAAAGGATTTGATTTATACTCTTAGGGCTGTTCTATTTATGCTTTTGCTCTTTGTAGAAGAGTTTCCTAGGGAAAGCCTCCTCTAAAAGCTATTATATGGATAAAGCACTTTCAAAAAGTTATCTAAAAGTCTGTCATGCATGGCTTTTAAAAAGTCAAAAGAAGTTTTTGAGACTCAATCCCTGTTTGGCTAATTTTATGAAATCTTTTAGAGAAAGTTGGTCCAATATGACTCTCTAAAAGTACTTCAAGAATAGAAAGCTCTTTTAAAAATTATTTTTTCAAACAAAATTAAAATAGCTTCTTTTAAAAGTTCTTCCACAGAGAGCAAAACTATGTCAAATGGGCCCTAAGTATGTCCAAAAGAAGCTTCTTGTCTCAAACGCACTTCTGGTTTTTCAAAGGTCATGCTAGACCAGTCCTTAGTTTAATTTTAAAATCAAGACAGTAAATTAATAGTTATTGCAAGATGCTAGAGCTATCGCAAGCGCGTTTTATATACAGTTTGTGTACATCTATACATTATTTTCCTGAACTGAATAATGAAAAGAAAAGCAAGTTGATATCTTGATAAACAACATGTACAATGGAATTTGCAGTCCTTTGAACATGTTCTATGATTCCTAACTGGTATTCTTTTAGCATCTGTGGTGAAATAGCGAAAGATTGTTACTTTTCCCTCAATATAAGTAAATTTATCATGAATTTTATCATGTCTTAATTCAAGGTTTTGGTTCTTTACTTTGCATGTTGAATAATGTAATATTCAAGAAAGTAAAATAGCTTTTAATTAGAGGATAAGGGTCATATCAGTAAGATGAAGTGTAGTTTATCTGGCAACCATTGTGGATTATGAATTTGTTATATGAACTGTAGATTCTTGGGATTACCTATTTTTGAGCCCACTACACTTTTTGACTGACCAATTCTTATGCGTATTCATCTGCCATCTGGTATCAAATTTATCATAAAATTTCTATTTGCTACACAAATCTTGAAACTCTTGAGTCCACGATTTCTGAGAAGTACGTTGGTTTCTTTCTGCTCATTTCTATAATTCAAGGTGGACAGATCTAGCTTTTGAAAATTCAGTCTATACTGCTCACATCGGTTACCTTCAAATTTGTTGCCAATTCCATTGCTTCAATATATATCTCTATATTATTTTATAATTATGGGTGATTTATATTCTCATGGCCATTGGCTACATCATAATTAGTTCATTTCTAAAAGATCCGGTTTTACAAGTTTATTGTAATCGTTAGTGCTTTTAGTCTTTCAAGTTAGATGACACTTGTATTCACCATTTAGTGAAGGACTCCATGCAGGATTTTCTTTTGTTTTATCCTTTGCTTTGCAATTTGATATCTAATTTCTCTGTAGCAGTGCCGTTAAACATTGTTTAAAGGAAACTGCTTTTATCTGATGCGTGATTAACAATATGTAGGCTTTTTCCTAGTGGAGATGGAGGAAATGGGTTGGAACAAACGGATAAGCTTGTTGCTCCCGTTCACCCGTTCCACCCAAAAATAACAATCCGACGAGGAGTATTGGCATCAGAATGTGCAGATGCTATGCAACAATTCTTTCAGTTAAGGAGAAGGGTAAAGGAGAAGAAATCCGAGCCTCCCACATCACCCTCACGCCTTCCCATTTCGCACCGTCCCACGAAGTTCTTCGCCAAGATGCACGATGCCTTCAACATCTTGTTCTGTTTGTGAGTAACTGAAAGATTAAAATTTTTCTTTTCATTACGTTGAAATGATACTGCGAAATAGGCTGCTACTTAAATAAATTGGGTTGACTTCTTTTTTAATAATTTGAATAGTGTAAACTTGCGATCATATATCTGCATGGGACAATTTTTTTCCAATAAGGTTAGAATTAGGTTTCTCTCAAGGTTTACCGAAAGATATGAGTGGCACTAAGCCTGGTAATGATTTTATCTTTGGTTGTCTTACTAGTTCTCATACTTTCAGTTGTATATATGTCATTGCCATTGCCTGGCACGCCAATATTTTTATTGGCCAGGCTTGGGACCTGGGGGGCATCATAGTATTTTAAAGGCCTGCACAGGTGATGGGCGGGTCCAGAGCACAGCTTGTGTTTCCCTGGGCTTCGTCAAATATGTCTTGGCGTAGCCTGGCCCCATTCTACACCTCTATGCCTCAAAAGGATTTGATTTATACTCTTAGGGCCTGTTCTATTTATGCTTTTGCTCTTTGTAGGAGAGCTTCCTGGGGAAAGCCTCCTCTAAAAGCTATTATATGGATAAAGCACTTTCAAAAAGTTATATAAAAGTCCGTCATGCATGGCTTTTAAAAAGTCAAAAGGAGCTTTTGAGACTCAATAGTAGCTTTCGGACCCTGTTTGGCTAATTTTATGAAATCTTTTAGAGAAAGTTGGTCCAATATGACTCTCTAAAAGTACTTTAAGAATAGGAAGCTCTTTTAAAAATTATTTTTTCAAACAAAATTAAAATAGCTTCTTTTAAAAGTTCTTCTACAGAGAGCAAAACTATGTCAAATGGGCCCTAAGTATGTCCAAAAGAAGCTTCTTGTCTCAAACGCACTTCTGGTTTTTCAAAGGTCATGCTAGACCAGTCCTTAGTTTAATTTTAAAATCAAGACGGTAAATTAATAGTTATTGCAAGATGCTAGAGCTATCGCAAGCACGTTTTATATACATTTTGTATACATCTATACATTATTTTCCTGAACTGAATAATGAAAAGAAAAGCAAGTTGATATCTTGATAAACAACATGTACAATGGAATTTACAGTCCTTTGAACATGTTCTATGATTCCTAATTGGTATTCTTTTAGCATCTGTGGTGAAATAAGCATCAATCTTGATCATCCATTTCATGAAAAGGAAGTGGCACAGTTATCACAGCTCTAAATTTGCCAGCATTATTCAGATGCTCATTCTCCAATCTGTATCAAAATAATTGTTCAAATAAGCAATTGGAATGTTGGATGCTGAGTATGTTGAACCATCCCAAACAAGTTGGTCCAAAATTGTATACCCTTTTCGGTATAAAGTTTAGTCATCACTTATTTATGAAAAATTATGCGTGCATCTGCATGGGGCGTGTTGAAGATAAAAATTTGAATAAATAAACGTGTACCCTCTTTGCCAGGAATTTGGATGAGTTCATTTAGTATAGTACAAATGGTTGTGCCTCGCATGAAGCATTGGTAAAAAATCCTAATGGTCTTTCTTTCATCGTTGTTTTCCTACAATGACCTCAATTTTTTTTTTTTTTTTAAACGTTAATTTCCAATGGAAGGAGATGGAGCAATAGATGGGAAATAATGTTGAAATTATAGGGGAAAAAATTAAAATTACTGTTGGGAACAACGTTAAAAGTATAATGATTATTGGAGATTTTTAACCTCATGTAACATTAAAAAATGTTCATTTTACCTGTAAAAATTCCACTGTCCTCTTCTAATGACTTCTAGTGCTGCTAAAAATAATCCAGTAACTCTGTAATCTACACTTCCAAAATTGTAGTGTATGGGACAATTTTTTTCCAATAAGGTTAGAATTAGGTTTCTCTCAAGGTTTACGGAAAGATATGAGTGGCACTAAGCCTGGTAATGATTTTATCTTTGTTTGTCTTACTAGTTCTCATACTTTCAGTTGTATATATGTCATTGCCATTGCCTGGCACGCCAATATTTTTATTGGCCAGGCTTGGGACCTGGGGGGCATCATAGTATTTTAAAGGCCTGCACAGGTGATGGGCGGGTCCAGAGCACAGCTTGTGTTTCCCTGGGCTTCGTCAAATATGTCTTGGCGTAGCCTGGCCCCATTCTACACCTCTATGCCTCAAAAGGATTTGATTTATACTCTTAGGGCTGTTCTATTTATGCTTTTGCTCTTTGTAGAAGAGTTTCCTAGGGAAAGCCTCCTCTAAAAGCTATTATATGGATAAAGCACTTTCAAAAAGTTATCTAAAAGTCTGTCATGCATGGCTTTTAAAAAGTCAAAAGAAGTTTTTGAGACTCAATCCCTGTTTGGCTAATTTTATGAAATCTTTTAGAGAAAGTTGGTCCAATATGACTCTCTAAAAGTACTTCAAGAATAGAAAGCTCTTTTAAAAATTATTTTTTCAAACAAAATTAAAATAGCTTCTTTTAAAAGTTCTTCTACAGAGAGCAAAACTATGTCAAATGGGCCCTAAGTATGTCCAAAAGAAGCTTCTTGTCTCAAACGCACTTCTGGTTTTTCAAAGGTCATGCTAGACCAGTCCTTAGTTTAATTTTAAAATCAAGACAGTAAATTAATAGTTATTGCAAGATGCTAGAGCTATCGCAAGCGCGTTTTATATACAGTTTGTGTACATCTATACATTATTTTCCTGAACTGAATAATGAAAAGAAAAGCAAGTTGATATCTTGATAAACAACATGTACAATGGAATTTGCAGTCCTTTGAACATGTTCTATGATTCCTAACTGGTATTCTTTTAGCATCTGTGGTGAAATAGGCATCAATCTTGATCATCCATTTCATGAAAAGGAAGTGGCACAGTTATCACAGCTCTAAATTTGCCAGCATTATTCAGATGCTCATTCTCCAATCTGTATCAAAATAATTGTTCAAATAAGCAATTGGAATGTTGGATGCTGAGTATGTTGAACCATCCCAAACAAGTTGGTCCAAAATTGTATACCCTTTTCGGTATAAAGTTTAGTCATCGCTTATTTATGAAAAATTATGTGTGCATCTGCATGGGGCGTGTTGAAGATAAAAATTTGAATAAATAAACGTGTACCCTCTTTGCTAGGAATTTGGATGAGTTCATTTAGTATAGTACAAATGGTTGTGCCCCGCATGAAGCATTGGTAAAAAATCCTAATGGTCTTTCTTTCATCGTTGTTTTCCTACAATGATCTCAAAATGTTGGATGCTGAGTATGTTGAACCATCCCAAACAAGTTGGTCCAAAATTGTATACCCTTTTCGGTATAAAGTTTAGTCATCACTTATTTATGAAAAATTATGCGTGCATCTGCATGGGGCGTGTTGAAGATAAAAATTTGAATAAATAAACGTGTACCCTCTTTGCCAGGAATTTGGATGAGTTCATTTAGTATAGTACAAATGGTTGTGCCTCGCATGAAGCATTGGTAAAAAATCCTAATGGTCTTTCTTTCATCGTTGTTTTCCTACAATGACCTCAATTTTTTTTTTTTTTTTAAACGTTAATTTCCAATGGAAGGAGATGGAGCAATAGATGGGAAATAATGTTGAAATTATAGGGGAAAAAATTAAAATTACTGTTGGGAACAACGTTAAAAGTATAATGATTATTGGAGATTTTTAACCTCATGTAACATTAAAAAATGTTCATTTTACCTGTAAAAATTCCACTGTCCTCTTCTAATGACTTCTAGTGCTGCTAAAAATAATCCAGTAACTCTGTAATCTACACTTCCAAAATTGTAGTGTAAAACTGTTTGCATCCAAGCTAGCCTGAGAACAAGATTCAACCCCTGCAGAAAGTAAAAGATATTTGTTCAAAGCTGTTTACCATAAGGAAATAAAATCTGTGTTTTTCAATAAAATCTCTTCGCGGTG